AGAAGCCTATAGGGAGATTCTAAAATCCCCAATTCGTGGACCCTCGTTTTCAGGTAGTGGGGCCCCCACTCACATCCCCTAAACCTTAAACCCTAAACCACCCCTAAACAACAAAAATCTGCCCTAAAGCAGGGTACAGTCCGGCAGCGGAGCAGGACAGCAGGGTGCACGATGCAACAAACCCGGATCCTAAGGGTTTAGAAGTTTAGAGAACCAAAAGATCCTGCTCTAATCGAACTCTATACCTTAAGGCACCATAATAGTTCCTTTTTGGGGTTGCCTTATAATATTCTGAATATGAACACCAAAAAGGAACTACTCTCGGGCCTTAGGGTAAAGCCATGTAAAGTATGAAGCTCGGTGAGTAGCAAACAGGACAACCTTGGGTCCTGGCGGCCAAAAACTGTGCCACTGCAGCGCAGTGTGAAACGATGACGAAAGCCACAACCACGACGGCCTCAGCAATGTAGGGGCTTGAGGGTTTGCGTTTAAGGGGTACCATTACAAGGGTAGTATAGGGATTTTAGCTAAAGGGCACTAATGTTTCGAATACGGTTTGGGGGTCTATTATTCTCAAGGTATACGTATTCAGGAACACCCAAAATAGCACTCCCATATCAGGCATCTCCCTCGAGGAAGACATCACTGAAAGCTATAGTTTACAGCACGTGATTTTTGAACTCCTTCGATGCGAGTTGCCGCCATCCTAGGACCAATAAGGCCCCCCACCTAACTGCGCGAAGGATCACGGCCTGAGTGTTTTGGAGAGGTCGGGTTTAGGGTTTAGGGTTTGGGTGATTCGGTCCCCCAAACCCTGAACCCTATTCCGTTCAGGTCCTGTGCTGCATACCTGGAGCTGTGTTCAATCATGACCAATAGGAATCCCATATAGTTACCTTATAAGTATAGACAATCATAGTAAAAATTTCCACAACCCCTATTCAAATGATTAAGGCCTAGGATCCCACTGTCGACTTCCGGCCTCCCTCGCTGTGACTTCACCAAGAGACTAAGAAGGTCCATAGTATACGGTTTAGGGTTTAGGGTTTTGGGATTTAGGATTTAGGGTTTTGGCTCCACTTCATACGCCTGACTGAACACTAAACTGTTTGAGGTTTAGGGTATACCTAGGCCCCCACACTACTCTCTAATATACCCCCAAACCCCAGTATTAAGGCCATAAGGACTCCATTAGAGGGCCCTAGAGAGGGTCCTGGTAAGGCTTCGGGCTCAAAGCTCTAAACCCATAACCCCTCAGCCCTAAACCCCTAAACCCTAACCCGACCAAACAGTGAGGTCGCTGCCCCAAGAATAACGGCCACCGGAGAGGCGCAGAAGATTCCCTCGGACGCAGAAGGAGATGGTTCAATATAGACGCCCACATAATTACCAATACCAGTTTGGGGGTTCCTTATTAGATTACAAGTATAGTATAATACCCTGGCCATCCGGGTATGCATTATTAGCATACTCGGCCAAGTGCTCAATTTTGACGCACTTGGCCAAGTGTGCTAGATTTCAATACTTCTACGGGGCGACTTGTGGTTTCTACGAAAGCATGCTCTTGGAACACACATCATCTCTGATGCATGGCATTTTTGCAGGCTTTGCACTGTCCAACTATCGATAACTATGGATTGGAGCTTCTCACATAGCAACAATGTACCATTCTTGCATACATTCTAACACTACATATACAACAACACCAGGCACTGCAGCCCTTATATTATTATTATATATACTAATAATAATATTAGTATAATAACATTTAACAATATACTCAATGCTATATATACAATGCATATGTTCACGTGTATGTGTTATATACACGGTTATTATATATAAGAGCTTTATGTAATAAAACGGAAAATGCTAATATAGATACAATTATAATATATAATATAATGAACATGTGTGCCCCTTCCTGTGCTGCATGTCGGCATGCGCCGTGTGCTGAACAAGTGGGGGACATGCCTGGACCTCGGCATGTGATATCGAGCTTGCTATTGCAATTCTCGTATTATGATTATTAACAATGTAACAATGTGTGCACGAGGTCAGAAGCGAGTTTCTGCATCGAAGACATCCAGCTCGAAGCCCTCTAGTGACCCTGCTTTTGCTGCAATGTTTTATTCTGGGGGGCTTGCATTGCAATTGCTTTGATTGCACTTGTGCATTGCAATTGAATTCTTGGCCGTTGCAACTCTACACCATGCAAATCTAGTGCTCGAAGCATAGCAATCTTTGTTCGTGGCCCTTTGCACTCTCCTTTCTTCGAAGGCCAAGCAGTGTGATCAGTGAATTGCCCATAGCTGCATATGTATATACAAATGTATATAATAAGCTGAACCAGGGCATGGCCGCTCAGCTGACGAAGTCCGCCGAAGAGCGTGAGGCCTTGGCTGAGTTGCAAGGGCAACTCTTGGAGGACATTCGGTTCAACTTCGAATAACAAGTCTGATGACGACAAGCTGACGACGACATTAATAATAATGAAATTATTATATTGTGCCGCAGTGCAGGCTGTGCTTGCGGCAATAGTATATATATAGTGAAATAATATATTGTGCCGCAGTGCAGGCTGTGCTTGCGGCAATGAAAGATATATTCAGCTGACTGCCATGCATGTACTTTGCAAGTGCTCGTAATTTTGTGTCGCCGCGCGGAAGAATCCGCAAGCGGCTGCTGCAGGATCTTGTCAACAGCTGGCTGCTCTCTCGAGCGGATCGGCTGCCGAACATTCGCAAAGACGAGGCCATCATCATGGTTTGTAAATATAATGCGCCATATGATTGTATATCACTGTCAGGCAGGGAACGTGTTTGTGATGGTGCCGCCAAGCCCGGACAGCCAAGAGCAGGTGTGTGTCTCAGGTGTTCAGCTACTGTTCCTTTCATCGTTCATATATAATATAATAATTGTTGTCAGGTCGAGGCCAACTTTGACTTCTTGGCCTCCTTCTATGCAACCTTTTCGGCCGTGGGGATTCCCAAGTTCTCTATTTTCAAGGTGCAGCCTGAGCTTCTGATTGCCAATAACATCTGTTGTTAATAATGAGCTGTGCCAGGCAACACTGCTCCTCCTCAGCAAACGGTACCACCTGCGTGAGGGAACTATGAAGATTCAGAAGGCCTGTATACATATATGTCTTGCATGGTGCGAAACCTTTTTATTAACAGTTCTTATATAACTCGACGTTTGGTAGGCCTGGGCCGGGTATCAAGCCGGTGTGATGCGAAGCACGTGTACCCATGGTTTCAAGCTGGCCATGCGGACAAAAGCAGCGAGGATACGGGGTTGAGCCAAAACCTTTCCATGATTCTATCCCATTATATTATTATGTCATGCTGATTTCGAAGTCGCAGGAGCGACAAGATCCGCCTCCTGAAGGAGATCATCCATACGACTCTGCATGAAGCAGGTGGTGGGAGTAAGAATAATAATAACACATAATGTTATAAGAAGAATAACAATAATATGTACATGGCTCATCATTTTAAAAATATATACATAATCTGATCAGGCATTCAAGTGGGTGATCATGAGACGGTTGAGGAGGAAGAGATGTTGGATTCTTCGGCCATATATTTGCTATGATTGTTGATTTTTGGGATAAGTGTGTCTTGTCAACTCAGGTAACGGAGCCCAGCCCGGACTCATTGGCCACTATGTCGACGGCGGCTCCGACGTCCTCTTCGCAGGACTCAGCATGCATTTGTGATTCGTGGTTGTGTTCCGATTCAATGAACATGAAGGCAGACCCGAGCCCATCGATCACGATTGCCAGTGGTTCGATGATGGACGTGCAGGACCCCACCGGGTTTATGAAAGATCTGGTTTGTTGAGACGAAGTGCACATCCCGACAGGATACACTGCTGATGTACGACCCCGACGAGGAGCCTGTGGTTGATTTGCCAAACAACCGTCAGGGTGGAAAGGCCACTCTGATTATGTCATCATGACATGCATGATGCAGCAGCGCTCTCGCACGAGTAATAGTGAATAATATACTAAGGATCGGGATCCGCTGATGAAGATCGCTCCGGTTTTGCCTCCCATGGGTCTGGAGGCACAGGCCGAGGAGCTGTGCGAGAAGGCCATGGAGCTCGAGGAGAGTGGGGGCAAGCCTTCTGTTGCCGAGTTCGATGTTGTGAGTGCGCAGCAGAAAGCACCCTGGTGTGATGAGACTGTGTGTGCATGTTGCTCCAGGATGACCTTTACGAATTATGAGATGATTCTTCAGCCAAGGTTTTGAATGCTGTGCGCTCGGAGGAGCCTGAGATCTTGATCGAGCCCAAAGCCAAGGCCAAGGCAAAGTCGAAGGGCAAAGCGAAGGCGAAGGCCAAGGGAAAAGCAGGTGACAGCAAGGCCGAGGAGGATGCCGATGAGAAGATTGTCAAGAAAGTCGCCCTGAAAGAGAAAGCTGTCAAGCCTGTGCTCCCGAGCTGGCCTGGGGCGGAGACCCGTATGTGAAACTGATGAGAATGTCAAGCTTTTTATTATTAGAGTAAGTAATATGTATAGCAATATTTGATAGCTGCTAGTATGTTCAAGAATATAGTTCATAATAACAATAATATAGAAAAGAAACAAGACATGTAGCCTTAATCATGTAATATTTCTATCACAGTTGGACGCTAGTTACAACATCAGTGAATAGCACAACCATTTATTATTAATATCAACAATGGAGCTCTATATTATATATGTATATAGATAAAGATATAGACAATTATCATCATATTTTCATATCGAGATCACTGTTATATGTATATATATATATATGTAGAGATATCTGTATATAGATATTTAGATATAGTTATTATTATATAGATACAGATACACTTATAGACATAGATATAGAGAATTATCAACATAACAAACTATTATCATCATTAATTAATAATATTGCTTGTTATTACTAATATTATTATTAGTTATGTATATATATATATATATATTGATATTATCAGATAGTTTCTCTATGCAACCCTTGCAGGAGACGATTCTGCGTGCCGCTCACATCCCCATCCCGGATTCGTTTGCAGGGACCAGGAAATCCTACACATTGTCGCCGGAGGATTACTGCGTGAAGCTGGACATCAATGGCCAGGAGTTGGGAAGCATGTATGTGCTGTGTCTTCTCAGCATTATTATGGCGAGGGTCTGCAGATACCAATATACATAATGAGAATCAGATTACTATATGCATATCTTGAGGTGGGCCGAAAAGGGCATGTATGTGAACCTGGTGCTCGACCGCAGCGAATTCCCGGATCACAATGTGAACAAGAAAGGCGGTGCAACTGTCGGGATCAACAAAGTTGGTGGATGGGCCAACGCCTTCAAGATTGCATGCTCTCTGGCTGGTTGGAGCCAGGCTGGCCTTGTGTTTTGTTAGTATTTGTTACATGTTGCCCAGAGCAGACAATCACTTTTATGTGTCGGCAGGCAGGGCTCAAGCCGGCACCGAAGTCCATCGAGAACGATGTGGACTAGAAGGTGATACCCATATCCGAGGACGATCGGAACCGATTCGTCATTTTGACTATATGGTGGCAGCCTCGAAGCTTGTGAATCGAAGCTCTCAGGTGCAGTGTGTGAGAAAATGATAATGAGATCGGAGGTGTTCTGATATGTTCGGCAGGCCACTGCTAGCAATTCGGCTTGTGCACCTTGTTTGTTGCAGGTGTGTCTTGCACCGATTCCAGCCTGCTGTTGTGTTGGACGGCGTTTGTTTTCAAGAGGGCTTTGCAAAGTTTGGTTTGGTAGATGATCAGCCAAGCCATGCCGCCGAAGCGTGGCTTGCACTTGAGTGCACGGCAAGCTGCATTTTTGATGTGGCTGGGGGCTCCTCCTATTCTGTGCCTTCGTCTAGATTAATTTGCTGCGGTAGTCTGTCACACACATCTTTCAATGCTGGGAGTGCCAAGGTTGCATTGCTGCGATTACATTGCCCAGATCAACGACAACAGGCCTGTGGCTGACCCCTTTTACTTCAGTGGGCAGGATCGCTGGACACAAGTGTGCTAAAAGATGTAACAATAATCTCAAGATAAAAAGTGAGCACTTGTCTTCCAGGACCTCGAGGTGCTTGAATTGTTCAGCGGCTACCGGCGCCTCACCAATGCTTGCCGTGAGATCCTCAAAGATATGTCGGTGGATTACAAACACTATATTATTATTATGCATGTGTATATATACATATATACATATGTACGTGTGTATGTATGTGTGTGTGTGTTTGTGTATGTGTGCATCTGCAAGGACGCCAGCACCTGCGAGCGTTCGAGGCTCAGTTTGTTACAGAATATTATTATTATTATATTGTTATTTAAGAACAGTATTGCTCTAATCATAAAAATAAGAACAGTAGATATAAGGAGGAATAACACGAGGTTGGTTACACTGTAAGAATAATAATAATATAACCAATATGTGCAACTTTCTACACGAATGCAGATAAGAATAATAACCATAATAGTTGTTATACATGCATGAATACGAATACTATATCTGTACAACATGTAGATATCTATCTTCTATAAGCATACTAATAAAAAGATGTTAACATATGTATGTGTATAGATATATATGTGTATATAGTATCTCTGATAAATGATTATGCGATGGACATGGGTTTAAATAATTAAGAGACTGTGACCTGAATAAACAAGCTGAGGCAGTCTTATGATGTATTGCAACGAGGGACCCACAACGACATCTTGAGTGTCGAAGGCTTTCTGGTCGCCCTTCGTGACACATTGCGATTAAAGAAACAGGGAACCTTGTGGGCCGGTCTACCGTGCTCAACGCTTCTTGGTTATTATTATTAATAATAAGCTACAACATAGTTTTGGTATAAAATATTTCATACACATGCATACATATTACACACATATATATGTATGACTATATATATATATATATACTTATTCATGTATATATATATATACATATATAGGTATCAATGCAAATATTCAAATCAATTCCGACCCAGGTGGGTTTTTATGAGCCTCCATGCCACAAAGCGCCACATCGACATCATGGGAGATCGGCACTCCAGAGTGGTTCTGGAGGCAAATTACATGGTGTCGCGGTTTACGATGCTGGCCTTGGTTGCAGTGGTTCGTGGCTGCTTCTGGATAGAACCCTGCCAAGTGTATGTATGTAGTTGTTGACGGCATCATGCCTGCATCGTATCGAGTCGAGTACATATAATATATATAGTGGCCAAGGTAGAGCAGCCAGGGTCTTCGCGGCTTCCGAAGTGCCAATGGATGCAGCACTTGTGGACGTCGCTGGGTGGAGCGGCACGAGTGTACTATCGGAGATTGCCAGAGCCTCATGCCGTTTCATTCGGATACAGCTTATAGAATCATGTGCGTTCTTGCATTGGGCTTCGAGACTGTGCTGAGTTGGATGGGGATGTATGGACACTGGTTGCCGAAAGCTTCCATCTGCTTCGGAACTGCGACGCTTTCTCAGTGCAGTCTGCAATATAATAATAGTTGAAACTTATTAATTAACGATGAAGAATATATATATATATATATATTAATAATAACATGCCACGATATACTAATAATAATTACTATTATTAATAATAATATTTACTATTATTATTTTATAATAAATTATAATTACGGCTTGTACCGCGTGGCTAGCTGCCGCATGCGGTCCTTTGTGCTATATGTATATATATATATATAATAATAAAATCTAAATGCACACATAAATATTGTTAAATATTATTATGGCTAGCAATGCATCTACACATACTAAATAAATATATAATAATGATATAGTTATATAGCAAGCTTCGTTCTCAAATCACTCAGGCCATGGGTGGCGGACCTCATCGACAGGATGCCCAGGGATGTGGCCAAGCGCCTTAAGGCTGGCTCGAAGAAGATCGTGAAAAGGCGAAACATGCCTGATGGGTCTTCCAGGGTGAGCCTGGGCTTGACATCTTGCAATTGCCCTTCATATAACAATAATAATAATTATATATATATATATGTAATATATATATATATATATAATAAATAGTAAGGACCGGCAACCGCAACCTGAAGCGCACTGCCACGTACCCGCGAAAGTTTGCTGAACATGTGGCAGACAGAACACGGGACCTCCTGGCCAGGGTCTCAGCTATTGCATTGTTAAGAAAAGAAAAATATATATCAATATATATATATATAATGAATAATAATAATAATAAGAATGTATACATATATAAATATTATTCTTATATATGTATATACAACAGACCGCATGCGGCTTTCCGCGCGGCACTGTCGGGATCGTACGTATAACCAATATATTATATAACATATAGTCTTATTTCTGCATTCAGATTTGTCGCTGTGTGGCTTGCATCGAATTTTGATGATCGGCAGGATGGGCTTGGACAGACATTCCGAGTGCAGTACTAGTACGAGTAGTAGAGTAGTAGTCGTCCTAGTACTAGTACTAGTACTAGTACTAGTACTAGTACTAGTAGTAATAGTAGTAGTAGTAGTAGTAGTAGTAGTAGTAATAATAATAATAATATAGTAGTAGTAGTAGTAGTAGTAGTAGTAGTAGTAGTAGTAGTAGTAGTAGTAGTAGTAGTAGTAGTAGTAATACTAACAATAGGAGAACTGGGTTCCATAATATAGCATAGTATATGTAGTGTCCAAGCCATGGCCCACAAGAGATCGAGGATGACCCGCCTAGCCTCACTGTTGTGGGATGACGACTGCGAGGATTTGTCATGTGTGGACTCCGATGCCACTGTGAAAGCTGTGCTGTGTCATTCTGCCATCACGAATAATGAGAGCGATGACAAAGCTGTTCAGATGTGTCGACTACAACAGGAGATTGAGGCTCTTCGAAAGAAGTGTTCTATGCAAGAAGCACAGATCCAAGACATGACTGAACAATTGGAAACGTTCTCTTCTGCCTGCTATCCCAAAGTGCCGGAGCTAGTTTCTGACTATGCTGCGTGGCGGCCTATTGCCAAAGGTGGTTGGGTAAAATTGCTGCCCAAAGCTGTGTGTTCTTTGCCGAGGCTGCAAGAACTATTGATGCAGCTCGACAGTACCAACTACTGTCAGGGAGAAGTGGTCTTCAATATTGTGGATCAGTCCAAGCAGGCTGTCCTTGGTAGCAAGATCCTGGAGCACTGTGAGGTTGTTGCGAGATCCTTGAGTTTCCGTGGGCCATGCACGTTCAAATTCGGCATAACTGACAATCCAATTTCTCGTTGGGAGCAGCTGCCTTATGCTTACAAGAAAGATAGTGTACAGCGTTGGCATGGCATGCTGGTGCTCCACGTGGCTGAGAGTAGTTTTAGCTGTGGCCTCATCGAATCTCATCTTATCAGACTTTTTCGTACTGTTCCGGGCTGCCGTAACACTAGACCTGGTGGTGAGACTTTGAGCTCGCAACCTGGCCCTCATTGTGTGTATGTGGTATACAGACCCTTGGTCTAAAAGTAATTCGGGTCGACTTGTCCTGGTTTGCAAGCCGGGCTGTCTTGTCATCATGCCTGCCAAAAGATTGCAAGAGCGGAGCTTATTCTATGGAGTAGTCCTGGTGAGCAGTACTTGTCGTGGTCGTGGGGCTAGTAGTAGTAATAGTAGTAGTAGTAGTAGCAGTAGTAGTAGTAGTAGTACTCTAGTGGTAGCAGCAGTAGCGGTAGCAGTAGGAGTAGTTGGAGTAGGAGTAGGAGTAGGAGTAGTAGTAGTAGTAGTAGTAGTCGTAGTAGTAGTAGTAGTAGTAGTAGTAGTAGTAGTAGTAGTAGTAGTAGTAGTAGTAGTAGTAGTAGTAGTAGTAGTAGTAGTAGTAGTAGTAGTAGTAGTATAGTAGTAGTAGTACGTAGTAGTAGTAGTAGTAGTAGTAGTATGAGTAGTGTAAGTAAGTAGTAGTAGTAGTAGTAGTCCAAGTAGTTAGTAGGCATTAGTAGTAGTAGTAGTAGTAGTAGTGGTGTGTAGTAGTAAACTTATTAAATAGGACTCAGAAGTGTACTAGTTAGACCGTCTTCAGAGTAAAGGTGGTAGGAGTAGCACTAGTAGCAGCAGTAGTAGTCGTCGTCGTACAGTGGTCGCCGTCGTCGTCGTCGTAGTAGTAGTAGTAGTAGTAGTACTTTCTGGCCGAGGTCAACAGCAAGCGGACAATGTTGACCGGCATCGACCTGCTGGCCGAGGATTCTCTCCAGAACCCACCATTGGAGACTTGGCTTTATTATTATCATAGAATAAGGATCCTTGCAACTCCCAAAGGGCTGCCGGATGATGCTGCTGCCTCTGCACAAAGCTACATGCAAAGTCTGCCACGGCTCAAGCAGCAGCCAAGAGAGGCATCGGGTGTCAATTAGTATAATAATATTATTAATGACAGCTTATCATGCAAGACTGTCTTTATATTGGGGTCCCCTACATCTAGGTTGAGATCTAGTCTCAACCATGGCCGAACATTGCCCTCCATGGTTGACCGATGACCATCCATGGCAT